ACCTCATGATTTATTATCCAGTCAACCAGATGGAGAGATTGAGCCAGAGAAGGAAGGAGGAGGAGAGGGAGTTTGTCTGAAAACAGCTAATCAGCATGCATGTGTGATTTGGGCCGGTCCTCAACTGAGCGGCTAGTCTGTGTATATAAAGTTGGCAGGCGGGGTAAAGGCAAGATTTATTGATGGGAAACAATGCTGAAGTTGAATTTGATTCTGTATGTTTCCTTTAAATGGCTGCTGTATAATGAGAGGAAAACACAGAGGCACATGGACCACACACACAAACACACACAGAAGTATATGAGGAGCGCTGGACTATGGATTGTGGCCATAAAGTCTGGCCTGGGCTTCAGGTTTAAATCAATGTCAGAGCCTGATCTTATTTCATTTAATGCATGTTTTAATCATTCTCCCATCTGATCAATGCAGTTTGGATGTGACCATCAGGCACTGCTGTGGGAATTTACAAGCACTCCTGTTCTCCTGCCTGTGTTTCCAGACGGACGTTTTACGAGGCAGTGCACAGTGTGACAGTAAATCTCTTCCTCCACTTTGCCAAAATGAAATCTCCAAATGCTGCTCACTATGCCCATATTTGTTTGTCTCCCGCTAAAGAAACTTGCATTGGCTCTGCCAAGTCAACGTTCTAGTCTCTTTATTTTAATAGTGTCTGGAAGGGGCAATAAACGGGAAGTGTCTTTATTCAATAGTCGACAATAAAACTGGATGTAGGGAAACTTTGAAATCCCTGAGTTGCGTTTATGAAACTAATTTAACGGGCTTTGCATACTTCTCTGTAAAAGGAATTTACCAGTGAATGAAAACAAGCGAAAAACAAACCAGAAAATGAAAAATCCTCTCTTATGAACTGAGAGTTAGATTCAGGAAGCTGGTGTGACAGATACCAGAGCTCTGCAGGGGAAATGAATACACTCAAACTGCTCCTTAAGCGGTAACTTATTCACTTAACGGTCAATTCATCCTCATCAGTGGATGAAGCTCACAGAACAACATGTAAAATGTCAGTAGGAGGAGCTCGTAGCTATTTTGTATTGTTCATTTCCCATTTTTTGGATATACATAGATACTTAAAGGGAAATATATTTAGATTTCTTTAACCTACAGTTTCTGCAGACCCTTGACACCCATCCCCATATCAGCTCTGTCTATTTGTGTTAATCTCATCGATGCCTTTTGTGATGACAGCTACTATGTTCTTGCTGCTTTTGCTTTCCATGTATGGGTGTGGAATGGTGACAGGGCCTGTAAAACAGTCACACCAGCAGATATGCATTAACAAGCCACCTTATTAAGTGCACCTTGTCTAACCCTCCTTTTCCCTCAGAACTGCATTAATTCTTTGTCACATAAATTACTATTCATTTGAATACACTATTCTACATATTATATATTCACTATTATACAAACTATTAAACTCAAACTTGAGGGTTATTCAGCTGGAAGCAGTCATCAAAAGATAGCTACGCTGTGGTGATAAAGAGGTGGACATGGTCAGCAGTACTCATGCAGGTTCCAGCAAATAATTGATGCTCAGTTGGTACTAAGAAGCCCAACGTGTGCCAATAAATCGTCCCTCACACCATTAGACCACCTGCAGCCTGAACCATCAATACAGGGCAGGGTGGATCCATCCTGACAGTACTGCCTGAATGTTGCAGCAGAACAGGCAACTTCTAATGTCCAGTTTTGGTAAGCATTTTCAAAATATCAGTGTCCTGCTCTTAGTTGACAGAAGAGGAAACTCGTGTCATGTTCTCTGCTGCTCAAGATTACTGTGGCCTTCTTTTCAGCTCAAAGCAATCAGCTCAAAGTCACTTGTGACGAAGGCACCCGCGACACACAGCTTTGCAGGCAGTTGAATGTTTATTTATAATGTCTCCAGTGACTCCAGTTAGGCAGTTTTGCAGCCGCCTCTCTCTAGTGCAGTACACACAGCTCTGCTGTCAGGTCCCAGCATCCTATTCAAACAGGGAACGCACAATTATACAATGGAAATCAGCTGTGTTGGTAAGCCTTCCTCTAACACCACACCTGCTGCTCCGCTCCACCCCCCCACCCCTCCATTCTGATGCCTGATTTGAACTTCAGCAGTTGATGTTGACCAGGTCCACATGCCTAAATGCAATGAGCTGCTGCCATGTGATTGGCTGATAAGATATTTGTGTTAACGAGCAGTTGATAAGGTGTACCTAACAAAGTGGCTGGTGAGTGTAAACTAAAGTATATTTCCCAACGTGAGACACTGACAGCCATTTTAAAAGCACAGATGGGGTAAATCTTTTTTCGAATGCAGTTTTTATCTCAAATCATAAATATAGTTCACTTTGCAAACACTTCAGATCACACATAGTGACACTTGTTGTGCACTTTGTTTACCTATGCAGTGGCTGTAAATGTAAAAAAATGGGAAAAAAAACTGTATTCAAGATTCTCTAATGTAACATCTCCTTAGGTGTATGTACAGTTTGAAGTGCTGATTGTGTTGAGACTAACAAAGGCACCAGGCATCGTGATTGCTATAAAAAAGATAACACTTTTTAATTTGTTATTGACTCAGCTTTTGTTTTGATTGTTTTCCAGGCTTTTCACCTCCTCCAGGAACAAAGATACAAAAATAGTACATGTAGTTAGGCACTCAGATATACGGGTGTCCAACTACACAGTTAGGGAAACGTGTGTATTTTGTTTGTTCGCTGTTATAACGACATAGAATGGAAAAACAAAGATCACAGATGTGAAGTAAAAGAAATCTGTAAATATATACTTCACTGACTCTTCAGTCAGCTGCCCTGCTGACAACAAAAAATAAAAAATGAATAAAAAAATAAAACACACAAACACAAATTGTAATAACCTGGAGGTTTGTAATATCTGTCACGGTTTCTGTGGGTTTTCTATTTTGGTAGTGAAATCTGCATTAGGGCACACGCAGACATTCATCCACATGTACCCTGAAGGGGAACCTTAGACCCTCAAACTGAAACCTGTCAGTCACACTGCCAAGCTATACTGACAGGAGCGTAACGAGAGCTGGTGAGAGGCGCCGTGCGAGCGAACAGAAAGACACAAGAGGAAGCTTGAAAGCTGGAGAAGAAAGATGGGAGAGGAGTGAGATGAAGAGGAGGAGGAGGAGGAGGAGAAGCAAGTGGAGGTGAGACTTCTGAAGATTGTTAGAGACACGGCGAGATGAGAGCGGTGCAGCATGCTGCTTGGTGTTTTGGCACGTCACCGTCTTTTTGATTTGTTAGCATGTGTTTATGATGTTGTTTCTCTGTCTGCTTCTGTCAATCTCTATTATTAGACCCTCAGATCCTCCTCCTGCTGTTTTGACACTCCCGCTGCTCCTGTTTCACACTTCCACTCACACGGTTCAGACTTATACACTCTCACGCCGATAGACAAGCGATATAGGACACATGTCAAACTCAGAAACATATATGCACGTGTGCAAAATCGACACAAGATCAACACGCGCTCGATGTATGCTGTATCTGGTGTTTTGTTTGGAAGCAGAAGCAGGAGCAGAGGGTGAGATTTCCTCACTCAGAGAGACTAAATAACTAATGGATTGACTTGATCAGACACACGTACACTCGTCTTTTTATCAGGCTGCTGCGTTGCCTCTGATCTCTTCATGCTGGCAGAGACACCAGTGCAGACGCCTGATCTAAATCTACAGTCTGTGAAACCACGAGACGGGCCTAAAGGTGTGAGATGGTGGTTTCCCTAATGCTTCTATAGAAGGCAAACTTTTGAAGTGGAATTAAATTAAAATTACTTTGATTTGAGACGTGTACTGCATAATCAAAAGTATGAATGTATAAATAGCGTATAAATAGACTTGAATACTACTTTTTTGACAACGTTTATGTTGCGACACTGACAAGCGACATGTTTTGATCGCCTGAACAATCGACACTCGGTGACATCATACTGCAGGCAAGTGATTATCACAATACAGAGGTGGATTAAGAAGCTAATTCTGCAAGGTCCTGAAAAACAGGCGACAGAGTGCTCAATGCTGTTCCTCTGGCCCTGAAACAGAGAGAGTGAGAGCGGCGTCTGCAGCTGATATCTGTGGCTGCAAGATTAGCTTGGTAATTAACCACAAAGCAATTATCGGGTGGTTGGAAGAGAAGCGCATCTCAGGGAAGGTGTTTCTTGACGTGTTTAATAGGTGTTGAGTAGTTTGATCAGTCGACAGAAGTTGTTTCGGATTCTGAGGCTCACAGTCCAACAGAGGTTGATCCACAGCTGATATGTGCGGCTGCCGAGAATTCAATTAATTAGACTGTTGCTCTTCCTTCCATCCACTTTTCATTAACCTCCATTGACACCTCGGTGAGGCCCGTGCGCGGGTTTACGACTGCGTCAGGATTAACAAGGAAATGGGAAGTTGGCAATAAACAAAGTTGCCGGAGGAATGAGATTTCCCCTGGGAGAAACGCACTCTCGCAGTCACGGGGCGATTTAGAGAAAAGATGCAATTGGAGAAGCGAGATTAGCTCCTCTCACAAAAGCTAAAATGCAATCGGCGCTCCCCCAAAAAAAAGCTCAGAAGTTTTTTTTTTATCTTCTTGTTTTGAAGACTGACAGACCAGTGGTGAGATATCAGCAGATAAGTGGCTTAAAAGGGTGGAGTTAGAGGGTTTTGGCTAAGTGCTATTGATGAAAATAAAGAGGCCCTCTGGGGGGGTGTCCAACTACTGTTCTTCAGATCACAAACAGACTTAATCAATAAATCCAACTCTCTTGCAATTCAAGCAATGGCTGTCTGTCGGAGAGAGGTTTTCACAATATTGTGTAAGATTTATGCATACATTCCCTTTCATGATCCCATTTCATATAACATCAGCCAGAGCATCAGCCTCACTATGTTCACACGTTCTCATCGAATTCATACTCTTTTTTCTCAGATTATGGGCCTCAACTTTAATAAATGAAACACATCTCGATCTTCTGAGAGTCCTTTGTCCTACCTGACTCATCATCGGACTTGTTATCATTCTCAGAGTCAGTGAGGGTGAGGGCTGAGTTCTCGCGACTGGACACTCCTGAGCTTCGGCGGGACTTTACCCCTCCTCGTCCGGCCCACAGCTGGATGGCCCGCTCTGGAGACAGCGGCCCCTCGGGGTCTGAGTCGGCATCAGAGCCAGCGCTAAGGGAGTAACCCCGCTGGAGTAGGCCGAGGTCGGGACAGTAGGGAACAGCGGCGGGGTGCGGAGGGGGAGACGGCTCGCACACTCCGAGCTCAGCCAGGGTGAAGTTGCCCCCTGCGAAGGAGAAAGATGGGTTTAAGGGGATTGCTGAGAATAATGTGCGTAAATGCAGCAAAACTGATCGCACTAGCACAAACGAATGCTCGCACAAGCAAATGCTCACGCACGTCTGGAAAACAAACCCACCATCACACGCAGAGAAGCACACTAATTATGAAACCACGGAGGCGGAGGAGGAAAATTGCGCTTTGTTGTGGCAGGCAGGAGGGGGAGAGATGACGCAGCATGAATCAGGCACAAAATAAAAACTAGCTGCTGGAAGAAATATGTACTGGCCTGCAAGCCTGTTAAGGCTGGCTGAGAAGGCCCGGCTGCCTTGCTTTACTGATCCACATTGGCATTCATGAGGTGTTGATGTGAGATCAAAGAGTTGCTCACTTGAGGCCTCTCAGACTTTAGTGGGGCTGCTTCGTTGCCTTCTGGGTTTGATCATCTCCCCACCTAGTTGCCATTGCACGCTGGACCCCAGGCTTGCCGAATGTACCGCAGTCTGCTGCAGCACCAGCCCCACCGCCTAACACTCTCCCCCTCAAGACAAACCGACTCGTCACGTCCAAAATAAATATATAAAATTATCCAAATTAAAGCACATCAAAGGAGATCAATAAACAGAGCTGCGGCCCAATTAAATCCAAGCTGAGGAAAAAGCAATTAAGGAAAAAGGCATGCTCAACCAATTTATTCTCTATACTAATTAAAAGAGTATTGTGGATGCAATCGCTCACCATCAGCTGTTGGGGTAAAGGGATCGGGGGAAAAACAGTTGTGATTCACTTCATTAGCAGTTTGTGAGGGAGGGTAAAGGAAGAGGCGAGCAGAGAGAGAGGTTGGCATTGTGGCGGCACACTATATGAATCAGCGCGCTGGGAATCGCACAGCTGTGTGACTGGGTTAACTGTGACTCATCAGGCGTACGGACGCAATCACAGAAAGAGGAATTAAACAGATGAGAATCGTCTGCTGGATCTTCACGGCTCCTCTTCACAGGCTCGGCGGAACTCGAGAGTTCTGCTGAAAGTAATGCGGAGGGAAACGCAGCCAGGGAAGTGGTGAAAGGCTCTATACTTCTACTCAGGCAAACAGATGGACTAGGCTAGAGAGCAGAGGCAAGTATAAAGCTCCACAGGTGGATTCGGCTAATGCGCTACAGCTTGCCAAGCTTCCAACAAGCTACAGTGCAAAGGCACCCAAGCACCACAAGACATCAGCGAGTATTACCATTCCTCGTTTTCCTCGCTTCATTGTCTTTTCCTCCCACTTCTCATAAAAGGGAGACAAAAGGAACCTTCTTTACAATCCGTGAGCCAAGGGACTTTGACAATTTGTTGGCAATTTACACTACAGGATCTAACTAAAGTCGATGAACTCATACCTGAGATGAAGTATCGCAGGAGGACAGGAGAAAACTCCAGGAGGCCTGAGAGAGTAGAGCACATGGGTTCTTTAACATCAGTCAGCAAATTATCCAGAACTGTTCTGCTTGCTAGAAAAGCGTCTACTCCACAATCACAGTCAGGATGAGTTTTTATGCAGATTATCCTATCCGCCTAAAATGACAATAATTGGGCTACAAACACAGCTAGTCTACACAAACACTGCGTGGACACAGTTACACAACACTTAAGTGTATGCTTGAGTGCATTTGTATGGATTGTGTGCGTGCATGCACGTATCTAATGTTACATCCCACAGGACACCGCTCTGTACAATTAACATCTCATAACCAGTGATTACACATGTAAAATCCAATCTCTCCTTATCACCATCAGCTGGAGACACCGCCCGATGCACTATGTATTCAAAGAAAGATGGATTGGGGCGAGGGGTTGAAGCAGACGTGAAAATCTATCTCAGTTATTCCTCAAACAGAAAACCAATTGCATGTTTGTTATATGATATTATGACAGATGTGGGGGCAAAATGTGGCACTGAATTCTAATCAAATCAGTCCCTGTCCGTCCATACGACACCGTCGCTGTCATGCCCGCCCTTATGCGCATTAATGTGTGTTTTAAGGCTTGTGCCATTTTGGCAGCAAACTTGGGCTGCTCACATCTGTGTCTGTTAATTGTCTGTGTGCTAACAAGTTTCAGGATCCAAAGAGCCAAAAGCTATCCCACCATGATTTTACTGATGTTCCAGAGAGCTTCTGTTCACTAAAGGCCCAAGTTTATCAGTCTTCAAGTGCGCCACGGTACCAATAATACTTGCAAATATATAGTACTTTGCGAAAGTCTGTATATTTTACTAGGAAATTTGAAAATTGAGACATATGCAAACATGCAGGGCTATACAGTATATAAAGTAAAACAGAATGCTTTAAAGTCAGTATTTGGTATGACCACCTGTCTTCAACACAGCCTCAACTCTCTTAGGCAAGCCTTTTTGTCACTTCTTTAAGTAGCCTTTATGAACAGTTTTCAAGGCTTCTCGAGGGACATTCGAAAGTCTGGCAGCCTGTTGTTGACATTTTTTGTAGATTCAACAAGAACTGGGAACAAATGATGTCCTTTGGCGTCTGCTAGCTAAGAGGATTTTAAGCTGGTTCTTTGCTAGCTTGTCTTTCACATGTAGACGCAACAGTTGTTCCTGCCTTGAGTTACGTGTGTTTTTTATGTTTCAATCATTCAAGCATAAAAAGGTCAGTGTTATGTCAGCGTTAAGTGACTTAACAGAAAAACCAATCCCCTGAAAATTGGTACAAGGACACTGAAAATGTGTGAAAAATCAGCAAATGTCCATAGAAAACCTATAATTTTTTTTAGAAAGGCTGGAGAACAATTAGTTTAGAGCACCTTTAAAAAAGTACAAGAAAGTCTGGCTCCTTGGAAGCAAAATTTAAAGAAAAAAGGGGTGGCTCAAGTCTTTTTTATTGTAATGCACTGAATAAAAATGAACTGAACTAGTTCTCTAGTCGCAAACTTTATCTCAGCATCTGTATCTTAGTCTTGGCTTCTAATATCTAATGATCAGAAAGACTAATCCGTGATTAAAAATCAGGTGTGCTACACAGAATATCCACAACCCTCATCTCCACTCCGTGATATTTTGCCACGAACTGGCTTGGGCATCATACTGAAAATCTACCAAAAAGTTATATTTATAGCTAGAAAGGCATTTTTAAAACACAGAAGTCATTCAGATATTTATCAAAATCAGCAGACAGATACTGATCATTAGCAATCCCATTTTTGACGTAAACAACCATGCAATACTCACTTCATTTTACACATGACTTCACCTCATCACCATGGAAACAGTGATTTGGGAAGCTGTTTATTCATTTTCCACCACCGATGTAGGTTTTTAAAAAATAACCATATAAGCATAATAGTATTGTGAAAATAGTCTCATATCGTCCATTTTTACTTCAGACAGAAAAAGAGACCTTGAACTTTGACCCTTTTCTTAACATGCATTCCCATTAAGGCCAAGTTAAGGCCAACCTCCTTCCCCCTGCTCTTTGTCTCTCTGCTGAGGTGCTTTCATTAAATCCACTTTATTGCCGTTTTGTTCACTGCTCTGTCTGCCTGCTCTACCTCCATCTTTTCCTCTTTTCATCTCTCTCCCTGCAAAGAGTGTTTACCATGACCAAGGATTTCATCAGTCTTCACTACCGCATCTTATGATCCCCTTTTCGTCATCAGCTTGCCTCACTCTCTGTTTCACTCCCTATTTTTTCCCTTATCAGCTTAAAAGGAAGCGCACCCCCCACCCCCATCTTCACACACAGTGTAGCACAGCGGCAGCCTGTGCAAATGAAACTGTGGATCATTTTTCATTGCTTTGACACAATGTTAATTCAATCACCAGCTTTCTCACTCAAACTTTAAGGAACTGTCTCTGGACTATATTGATATTAAAAAAAAAAGTTAAATCAAAAGTATTTTCACTTCATTAGGATATTTAAAAAATAATAATATTATGATTTTTTTTTAAAAGAATCTTCAGGCAATAAAACTTAAATCTTACAGCTCTGACAGAGCTAGCATATTTCAACAAGGCCTGAACTGGCTTCACTTGGCTAATTAGCATAAGCAACACCAGTGCATGGCTAATTAGCATACCATTACATGCACACTTTTCTCTGCTACTATTTACAACCTATATTCACACAAACTATTTACAGCAACAGAAACGTTTATTTTAATCTTTTGAAAGGTGTTCTTAAGGGAAAATCTCACTCAGTGAAACTGCACATTTTAAACCTCCGTTTGCATACCTGTTACTAGTAGTTTCCATGCTAGAGTTTCTCTGTCACATAATCCTCCCATTGTGTCGGTGTTTATGCACTGAAGTGTTTCAGTTTTACAATCTTCCTTCAGGTTACTATTGTGCCTCTATTAGTAATATAATGAAAGCTCAATAAGGTCAGGTAGCAGCAGGTAGAGTCTGTGGGAGAATAGGGTCCTGTAGCTATATGCGAAAACAGAAGAGGTGAGGTTCGTGTTGGTCTGCTTCAGGATCCTTAAATCCCTACTAAATTCCTCTGCATCTGTTTGCATGCTCTTATGTCTTGTCTAATTGCACAGATTAATTATGCACTCAGTGGAGACAGGTTATAAGATAATAAAGATAAATTGAATTTTGGGAATTTTTTGATCTGGGAAGCATGACCCTTAACTGCAAGCTGCGTTTATTCTCTACTTGGTCATTTCTGCTGCTTCCCTGACTCTCCTGTCTTTTTCCTTTCTCTTGGATCTGTTGAAAAATGTCATCACTAAAGCATTTATTAAGAAGCAATATAGATGTATTTTTTATTGCTTCAAAATTCAGATAAAAGAAAACACAAAAGAGAAGTTCATTTCTTCAGGCATACTAAAGTGCAGCGCAGATGAATTCAGAATTGGATGCAAATGAAAATGGAAAATATTAAGAAATGACACATTTTGGCTGCTATTAGCAACAAATTTCTGCATTTCTTAGCTGTGCCAAAGAAAATAAGGCTTTTACTGTTATTAACAGTAATTTTACGCATGTCAGGAGATTGTTGGAGAACCTACCGTGAACAGTGGCATTTGCTTCCTGATTTTGATGCAGCCTCCACTGAGGAGCAAATCAGTTCACTAGTTTGGCACTTCAGGGCAAATCAGAACTTGTTCTGAACTCGCACTCCCTTGAATGCTGAAAATGGCATGTCCGAGGGTGGCCCGGACTGTAAACTATTCAATCTGAAAAAAAGCAGCATAATTGCAGGCAATGAAACCCACAAGTTCTGCCTGCTTTACATCCTTTACAGAATTACACGGTGGGGTGGAGGAAAGTCAACCAGCATAATGCAGAGTCCTGCTGCCTATACTTTGCCTGTCAAACTGCTAACAAGCACAAATGATTTTTTAATGATAGGCCCTCTATCCCACAAAGCTGTCTACTCACAAACAGTCACACTTACACACATACACTGTGCATTGCACACTTTCACTCCCTCACGCACACACACACACACACACACACACACACACACACACACACACACACACACACACACACACACACATAATGAGTTTTATCAAGGGAAGTACATTTGGTTTAATGGATCACTGCCAATGCCATACCCACTCACACTATTGTATTGTTGTAAGTTTCAGCAAGATGCTTGCTATTTCCCCCATGTCACTTATTTTTCTGAGGCACAGCGTGTGGCGCATGAATACTCCAAATGATTATGTACTGTACCTCGGGTAAAGGGAGCTAAACTTACTGCTGAGCAAAGTAACAAGTAAATCTGCAGCTTATAACATGCAGTGTTTCAACCAAATGATAGGTCTGTGAAGGTAAATCCAAATAAATCTACAAGACTCTGTTTGGCTGAATAAAGAAAAAAACAAAAAAACAAAAAAAACAAACAAACACTGTTTGTACCAGTGAGGCAATACAGTCATTTTCAGGAATTTGAAGGCTTATTGTAGAGTTTAAAAAAACAACAACTGCATATTGGTTAAAAGGAGATATTAATGTATTTTTTGTTTGCTAAGCCACTTAACACTGACCTGTGAATGATTCAAGCATAGAAACAGCACCTGACTTAAGGTATGAGTTAGTGTTATGTCTGCACATAACAGACAACAATTTTATATTGTATCTTTGTTACTAGCAGCCTGTCAAAAAAAGAAAACAAATACACACGCACAATCTATGAATATAAAAAATCCATTTTCCTAGCATTCTGTTTTGTTTCCTAGCAAAGTACACTATCAACGTTTCAATACACCTCTGAACTTTGATGTGTTCCACATTGTCCACAAAACACAGAAACATACCGTCCAACCAGCATTTAGTATTTTGGGATCTACAGGGAGTGCAGAATTATTAGGCAAATGAGTATTTTGTCCACATCATCCTCTTCATGCATGTTGTCTTACTCCAAGCTGTATAGGCTCGAAAGCCTACTACCAATTAAGCATATTAGGTGATGTG